CTATCTTTACAATTGCCATCTTGAATGCTAACAAAGCCAGAACCAGTTGTGATTCAATCACTGGCCTGGTCAATTGGAGTATACAAAAATGGTGTTGAATCAGTCCTCATCCCTCTCACTCCACATTATACTTTCATGTTGAGTTGCTACAGAAAAGAGTTGTGAAGCAGCTAAGGCCCTATCCTGAGGCTGCTGTTCAAATGCAGGTGAAATAATACTTAGGATCCTCTGATGGCTGAGCCAACACAGTTTTGGAATGAACTGATGACAAATGTTTGGCAAATAGTACTTTCCTAATTTGCTTAATAATTGGCACATCTTGTCTCTTAATATTTTTTTCTGTACTTCTTGGTAACAACACTTATCAGTACTAGCAAATGACATTAGTGATGAATCCTTGGTACAGTATTGTCCTTTTTCTCAAAGATGTGTACACAGAATTGCTGCCCAACAGGTTGATATAGCAGAGATCTGTGATGACAATGACTGCTTCTTCTAACATCCCTTTAAAACAGCCACTGAAAATGGGGTGGGAAAGTTGAACTGGTTCAGATTTCAACTGCACCCGACCTGATCCAGATCTGTACAAACCTTTGCATATGGGCAGGCACCAGATTCACAGCACCTTGACTTCCCACCTGTTCTGCCTTTTCTTACTCATCCCAGGTGACACACCCTAGGAGCTGATGATGTCAGCATGTACAGGGTGTACATTTTGCTGCTCATTCTCTATATGCCTGATAGGCACTTCCAGGAGACTTATGAAAGCAGCCTGAACTTTATAACTTTTGTAAATATCTGTAAATTCCAAGATCTTCTGTTCACAAACAGTTCACAGGAACTGTGTTAAAATGCCAAGAGGGAGGGAAGACAAGGGACTTAGGCAGCTGAAAAACTTTTAGTGCCTGTTGGTAAGGTTCATTGTTACAATTATCTTTATCATTAGTATTGTTAATATTTAGTGAATCCCTGGCTCTTATTATTTAGCAGGAGTCATTTGTGCAACATATAGTTAATGAATTCATGAAAATAAACTTTTGCTCAGAAAATCACTGAACTCTATCTCTAAGAGCTGATCTTCTTAGTCATATTTCCTTTAGAAGCTTGTGACTTTTTTTCCTTAGAGATTTAAGGCCTTATGGCCCTTTTATCCCAGCAGTTGTGTTGAGATGGGGAGTGAGCCAACAGACATAACCATGTTTATGGTTGATCACACAGTCAGCCAGATGTTTAGATTGGATTTGGCATTTTTAATCCACCTATCAAGCCCTTCCCAAGGACCTGGGATAGCCAGAAGTTGTTTGATTGTATTACAGGTGTCATGGCAGGATATAATATGTTTTGCAATTGACTGATGCTGATTTTGTCAATGGGGTTGGTGTTGAAATGATGCTTCAGATGTTTTGGGATTGCATCCAAGGTGCCCATTATTATTACTATTTTTGCTTTCTTATTATTATATTGGATTTAGTGCAGACAGACTTTTCAGTGGACTCTGGGCAGCTTACAAAATGTAATACTAAATTAGATCAGTTAAAATAATAAACGCACACACAACCAAAACATCCTGGAACAAAAGCATTAAAACAAACTATGACAGACACGCATACACATGAAGCACATTAGATCTGGGATCAAAGTAGGTTTTAACTGTTTTTCAGAACCACAGGAGAGAGAGTGCCATTCATCTCTCTGGGGAATGCTGTTCCAGAAGTTGAGAACCTAGACAGAGGTCCATAAGATGACCCTGTTTAATAGAAGGGACCTGAAGCTCACCAACTCTGCCAGAATGTACTGAGTGGATAGAAACAATGGGGGGAAGGTGTTCCTCCAGATAATGGAAAGCTACCTGAATCAAAAATTAATCATGTTTGAAAAGCCTGGCCTTTTTGCAGGCGTGCTCAGCAAATAACTTGTTCTAGTGATCTGGATGAATGATATAGTTAAATACTCAGTCTAATGAAGTACATCCACCCCATGCCAACAGGTGCATGGAAAGTCCATAGCACGCTATGGTGACCTAAAATAATGATGTGACAAAGATTAGGAGCTGATCAAAATATGAATGATATGACGTTACCAAAGGTCAGGAAGTGCACTTCTAAGATTGAGAACTGCTAAAGAAGTAGACCTGTATTCTACATTGTAACAATATTACATGACAAAACTGGAAAAAAAGAATGCTATGGTGCTATAAGCAAGGTGATAATGGTAGTGGTTTAGGAGGAGAACATCTCATCAGTCAGTTTCTAAAACTTTCTTTAGTGATTCATGAAACTGTGGGAATTAATCCTTGGGCAAGATGAGCTGTTTGAATCTTCTGATCAGGTTGGATCTTGGGATGATATGCTTGAGAAGTAAAAAGACTCACATCACCCAAAACCACTTCAAATACAAGGTGGAGCAATTTGATTGGTGGCATAAGTTTTGGACTGTATTATGGAGTTTCACATAATTAAGAAAGCCACTGTTGAGAAGAAACAGAAATTCAAGAATATGGGGGCACTTGCAAGGAGATTGGATTATGACTTTCAACAAGGCCTGTCACAGTGATGGCACAAGCGCTTTTCTGGGCTGCAACCCGGAAGAGGAGCTGCCCAGGGGTCATGCGTGTGCTGGAAAATGAATTTCCACTTTCTGGCATGCACATGCATGTCAGCAGGCTAGTTTTCCAGTTACTGGTGCATATGCACATTTGATGATCAGCTGACCAGTGTGCATGCTCACACTGGAAAACAGAACACCAGCTCTTCCAGTTTCCGGCACTGCCACACACACGATGGCCAGTTGTGCATGCATGTGTGCCAGAAACCCAGAAGATGAGCGGGCAATGATGCATGTGCCAGGTGACATAGCTCTGCATGCCACTTTGGGCACATGTGCCATAGGTTCACCATCATGGACTTATCATGTAACCTCCACATAGTGGGGCAACTGAAGCAGATTTTATTTTTCATAATAGATCTTGGGAGCTAGTTCAGCACCTTCTACTGAAAAGAGTCAGGAAAGACCAATAGTTTTCAACTGCTGAAGGCTGAGGTTATTTACAGGCCAAAAGAAATAGAAATATCCATAGCAATCTGCATAGAGCAGAACAAAGATATTAAACTTTTTTTTCCGCTTACTCTCACCTCTGTGTTATTTACCTTGTGGGATATTCTTGTTACAGGTTAGCAATAGCAATAGCAGTTAGACTTATATACCGCTTAATAGGGCTTTCAGCCCTCTCTAAGCGGTTTACAGTGTCAGTATATTGCCCCCAACAATCCGGGTCCTCATTTTACCCACCTCGGAAGGATGGAAGGCTGAGTCTTCCAGGTTGATAGGGATGACTAGTAATGAGCTGCAGCATCTCTCTCTCTCTCTCTCTCTCTCTCTCTCTCTCTCTCTCTCCATTAATCCATGTTTCTGTACCACTGCTAATATTAATGGATGGAGTTATGTAGTTAGTTGTTCAGTTTTGAAGCTCCCCAGGTTATATTAACTTTTCCCCCAACCACACTGAGAATGAATTTGACCTTGCACAACTAGCTTCTGCTTCTCTCTGAATCCACAAGCCCTGGAACATCTTTTAAAACAGGAAAAAAAATGAAGCATGAATCAAAGTGCAACAAGACCATTCAGACTTTTGGCTCTTTCCCATGAAACAGCAACTATAGATCAATACCATTTGTAGGATTCTCTTTTACAATTTAGCCCTACTGCTGAGGAAGGAATACAACTGATGATTCATCCAACTGTGATAATAGTGAGAATACAAGTAATTGCACTATGAGTTACTGTTGGAGTGTATTGAGGAAATAGACACTGGCCAATAAAACAATCCATAAAAATGTACTGTTGTTGCTGTTATGAATATGCAGAAAACAGAACATTGTTAGTTTCATAATAGTGATTTGGGGAATGTTTATGACTACCATAGAATATTCTATGTATCATGTAAATTTTATAAGTCATTGATCAACATATGTTTCATTGGAAGATAAATTAGTGTGCAATATCACAGTTGTGTTTAATATTTGGGTATTCAGAACAGAAGAGTTGGTGGGACTCTCAGAAGGCAGTTTTGGACATATAGAAACTAACATCTAGTGGAAGCAAAGAGGCTTCATCTTTGAATTGAATGTAATTTAAGTTCTCGGAAAGTTTGCACAGCAAATAAAACTTTTTATGGATCATATTGGATACAGAGCTGAGTGAACTATATGATGAATTCAGTCTACTGCAATCTGCACAGTCCATCTGAAAGTATAGGTCCAAAGTCCCCTTCCAACATTGGATGGTTGAAAAAAGTAATTCATTCATGGCTACTGTTCAAGAAAAATTGAATTAAAGCTACTGTGATTTATGAAACTTTATGCAATAATAAACTGCTTAGTTTCATGAGATACTTTATCATTTTGGTGCTTCTCTAAGTATAAAATTGTGACAGAAACAGCGCATTCAAAATAAGACAGTCATAGCAGTTGAGTTCAGAAAGACAAATAAAAACTGCAAGGCCAGAAATATGATTTTATTCATAGCAAATCAGCAGCAGCTGCATGAGAAACAAATATATTCTTTATGGAGCAAGAGAAACAGATCCACTTCACATAGAAGCAGCGATAGCAGCAATAATATTGGCACCTGTTCTTTCAAGCTGTATGGTGAACACACACAAAAGTACCATGAAATATTTCCAAGCAAGACAAAAAAGGAAGCCTCTCTTCATTGTCCTTTTGAGTCTCAACAGGAAGAAATTCAACCAGTGACTATCCTCTCCAGGAAGAATGTTAACTACTTTTGCCATCTCTTCAGGACATTTCAAGACATCCTTGTTCCACAAAGCTTCATAGGATATATAGTCCATATTCAGACATATTCGTTTTCAGATTCGTGGATTGCATCTGCTATCATCATCAATCACTATTGCAATTGTTAGCTTAAGGTTTTGTGAATTATCCAAGAAATCTGGATTGAATAAATTGGGGGGGGGGGAAATAGAATAGGTAGCAAGACTTTTGTCACATTCATATAGTTATTTATTATCATAAGCAAAACAAAACAAAAAACATTCTGAGATTTGGTGAAATCATAGCATGCATTCAACCATTATTGTGCTGTAAATGCCATAGAATGTTTATGAGACCTGAACTATCTTGTGAGTACCACAATACATCCAAGTCCATTGCAGTTAAAGAAGGCTTCAACTGACTTAGTTAGCCACTGAGAATTTCTTTAAGCTAAGTGTATGCATTCCTAACAAAGTTACTATAAATGATTCCCTGTTCGTGTTGAATGGATATTTTTTTATAAATTTTCTTGCCTGCAAAATGAAAACAAAAATCCTACAAGCTACGTGGTTAAACTTTCTTTCTTTTTCAACAAAATATAATGTCTGTTTAGTTTCTCAAGTGACCCAGCTTCTTTTTTTTTCATCCACTCTAATAGACAGAACTTTAGAACAGGAAGTGTCTTAGAATGAAAAGTTTTGTGTCTTAAAAGTGCTAAGACATACATGGGCATTTCTTAGCAGAATGTGATCAGTGCCTTTCAGCACTATTAAAGTCTGTATAGGACAGTGGTTGCAAACCTATGGCACTCATGCCAGATGTGGCACGCAAAGCCCTCTCTGTGGACATGTGCGACGTTGCCCCAGTTCTGTTTCGGGTCTCTGCCACGCATGCACGAGGCATGGGCACATGCACAGGGTGTGGGTTGTGCATGCAGGTACAAGGCACATATGCAGTTTGGATGCACGCACGCATGCACTTTAGGCATTCGGTGCCCAAAAGGTTCACTATCACTGGTGTAGGGTGACAGAAAGCTTATAAAGTACTGGGACAATATCATACTGAAATGCTGAGGTGTCCATTCAGGCCTGAGACTGGAAACTGCCTGGCCATGCCACAGTATTGACAATCAAGTTACGGTTTCAATAAAGTGTGGTCAAATGTTTGAATTGTTCAGATTCTTTTGGTTGTTTTTAAATGCCCTGTACTTTTGTAGTTTTCGTGTTTTTCCCTTCCCCTCCTTGGGTTTGTGCACCGCCCTGAGTCCCGCCGGGAATAGGGCGGCATATAAATAAAATGAAACTCAAACTCAAACTTTTTGTTGTTCAGGTGAAGGAGCAAGGGAAAGAAGCAGACACACTCTAAAATTAGGCTAGGCCTGAACTCAACAGCCTAAGCATTAAGCAGAACAGGGAGAGTACAGGCTGAATAGGTTAGTCCTAACACCACTGTGGTGCTCTTTGGTTCTTCTCTCACTTTAGGTAGGCCTGCTGAGGTCAGAACCAGGACCTTTTAAACCATTCTAGCAATCAAGTGCTAGTTTTTAGGCAGAAGTGTCTAATGCAAGCCATATTCACACACACACACACACACACACACACACACACACACACACACATACACACACACACACACACACACACAAATGACAAAACGTGCAACATGACATCTTGATCCAAAGCCCTGCTGCAAGTACATAAGTCAAAGACCTTGTGCCAAGATACCATGCCACACATTTCATCACTTACCTTCATCCTCAGAGGAGGAAAAGAAATCAGACGAGCAAGATCAGCACTTTTAACATGGAGAATTATTATCCATTAGCCATTTCCTGCTATTCATTCTACCCAACACAGCACTCTAGGCTTGTGGACAGACAGCTGCTGCCAAAGGTCTAAGGGTTCAGAAGACTTCATTCTCAACTCTGTGGATTATTCTGCCTTTAGAAGAAATCACTTATTTCATATAGGCTTCCCAAGGGGCCTCCTCCTTACCGTAAGTGGCACTAATGGGAACAGACCTGAACCTGAACTTGACTCTAATCCACGCTCCCTATTTGCCAAGTAGTCCCTATTTAGGGACACCGTAGGATTGGCTGCAGAGTTAAAAGTGCTGCTGTGACATGGTCGCATTAGCAGCGTTGCAGATGTGATTCCGATGGGGGTCAGCTCAGTTTGTTGAGAGGTGCTGGACCTCATTTGGATTTGAGAAGCTGAGGTTCCACAGAGCTTCATGGGGGCCACAAAACAAGCCTACCGACAACTGTAGCCAATGTGCATTAGTCAAAACTTTGCTCATCCTGGAAGAATTTTTCCCAGATGGAAAGATTAGAGATGATGAGAAAGATGTTCCAGTCAGATGAGGAAAGTTCATTGGGCCTTGTTCTGAGTCATCCCTTGGAATTCTTCAGAGCTCCTGTTACCAGTACAATCTTAGTGTGGGACAGACCCCTGAGGCTTGTACCTGTCTGAAACCATTTAAGCAAAAGGGCTGAGAGAATTCTGGTCATAACAGAGAATTACTAATGGAATGTTTGGTCTTTCTGGGAAAAACAAAGTCATAGAAGATGTTGCAAAATCATGAAGTGGGGAGGGGGGGTTAGGAAAAACAAGAATATAATAAACTAGTACATTGTCCAAGTTCTTTAATGGAAGCCTTCCTCAGAGCTACAAAAATGAAAACTTCTCTCTGTCTCTTTTGATTTGGGTGTTTTGTTCTTTTCATTTCCAAGGGGGGAACTGAGCAGAACTGAGTTTCATAAAGTGGAGTTAAACTGCCTTGAACCTGGCAGGGTAAGAAACTATTTGGTCTCTTCTGTGCTTATCTCTCACATTTTAAATAGTTTTAAAAAATATAATTTTGGGGAACAATTAATGTTTTGGGAACACATTGCTTTTCTTTTTCTTTAAAAAGGGATTTACAGTGTGCTGTGCAATTATTTCTTATAGCATCTGTCCAATCCAGATCCCTCGCTATTAATAATAATAAAAAATACCCAAGGGATTCAGGATTAAGCTCCTAAGCCTTCATTTACTTTCCTTTCTTCAACCAAGCTTGTCACTAAAATGTCTGCTCTGCATACCATAGCACGTGGGGCACAATTCACACCGTAGGTGTTGTAGCATGAGATAGCAACACAAAACCCTAAAAGAAATCATAGAGACGTTGTTGGCCCAAACAGTGCAGTAAATAGTAGCCATGGCAGGAAACCAAGTTTGCAGGTACAGAAAAAAGACATTGGCTTGGGGGGGCAGGGGGGAAGGCTCGTCCAAATCTTGTGTTAGCTGATAATATTGAGCGCATCAATTAATGAGTGGAGCTCATCGCGCACATTTGCCAGGGAGTGGCAGATCTTCTGTGGGTGGTCCAAGAGCTCAATACTGTAGGTGTAAGGATCATATTTCACAGAAAAAGGTCGCTTGATATGTGCTGCGTAGACCCTGAAATAAGAAGACAAACATCAAAGATGGGAATGTACTGGGCTCCTGAAAATGTTAAGAGATAAGGAAGCAACTAAAGGCATACTGTGTGTAAACCAGCTCTCATTAGCCTGGACCTTGGACAATGACATGGTTGTCTAGGAATATGGCAGCTCTATTTGATGTTCTCTAGGATTATTGGAATTAATCTGGGATCAAAGGGTTAATATTGTCAAGAATCACTAAACATATAAGGTTCAACTACATTCAATTTAGTTGAACCCTACATATTTTTAGTCTAAACTCATCCCTGCCCTTTGCCTAAATATAAATTCATTCTAAGGAAGCTAGCATCTCTACCATGCTGTATATAAAATAGAAATAAATTTTCCACTTTTGTTTAAATAAAATTCACTACATTTTTATTTCTTTTCATGTCTTTTGATTATATCACAGGGTTTTTAAAAAAACACACACAAAAAACAAAAATGCACATTGTGCTTAGGTAAATTAAACATGCAACAGGCGACTTGCTTGCTGAAGGTCAGCCAATATCATAAATGATATATCGGCAATGTATTTCCATGGAGCCAAAAGCTACAATTGAAAATAGCTGGCCACTTTGTCACCAAGAATGGAAGCCACTGAATTGATGAAGGTTATGAAACTAATTGTAATGGCAAAACGGCTATAAGCTAGAGGCTCACCAAGCGCAGTGTTTTATATCACACACAAGGTAAATATTAAATCACCAGACTGAACTAGAAAATTTATCTGCTAATTGCACACGCACACATATAGTTACAATAATTTGTATTGTAAAAAAAAAACCAAACATTTTAGTTGAAATGATATTGTATGCCACGGGTGTCAAACTCGCAGCGTCACGTTGCCGTCATGTGACATTTCGTAATGTTTTTTTCTCTTTGCGGAGCTGGGGTGGGAATGGCCTGCACATGACACATCCGGCCCACCGGCTGCCAGTTTGACAGCCCTGTTGTATGCTCTTTTCCTTCTTCATCTGATGAAGCTATAACTGTTGCAGTTGTAGCCCACAGAACCTAATGTAGTAATGAAGGAATCTCTATAGGACCCAATAATTCCGGATTATTTATGTTATGGCACCATCTAGTGGCTTTGGGAAATAATATTAACTTGTCTCAAAAGTAACAGTCCGGCAAATATTAATCCCTTCTCTTGTGTTACTACTGCCTTTTGATCAATAGTTCATACTAATATTTAGATTTATTTGGGATACTGTGCGCAAATATTCTCTTCAGAAGAAATTATGAGAAAGGCCTGGCTTCAATTTAGTGTCCCTTCACAAGTTAAAATTAAGACAGAAGCTGTAAGGACCATACAACGTTTTCCGTGATAGTATGTGCTACTACAGACATTTGGAGTTCTTTCCTGCACATATATTTCACTCATGTACAGTCCAGGGGTCTCCAACCTTGGTCACTTGAAGACTTGTGGACTTCAACTCCCAGAATTCCTCAGCCAGCTTTGCTAGGATTTGAAGTCCACTAGTCTTCAAGTGGCTAAGGTTGGAGATCCTGGATGTACACTTCTTATCTTCCTCTTTAAAAATATTGGTGGAATGAAAATATATGGAATATAACTTTCTTCCCTAACATAAACTTCTTTGGATGTTTAATGAGTGTCAATGTACTGTACAATTTATAACAGCAACCTACTGAAAAGCGAGTTTCACTGAATTTTTTGAGAACAGTGCAGTATTTGGGGGAATGAAACCCTGGTTAATAGAGATATCAGAATGGGGTCTGTTAAAAAACCAGTGGTTAACTAGATCAGTGGTCCCCAACCATTCTAACTTGTGGGGAACATGTGAGTGGGAGGCGCACACCTGCATGCACAGCTCCATTTGGGGGAGCTTCATGCACTAGTGTCCTTCACTCACGCAAATGGAGCTTTGTGCGTGAGAGGAGGTCCTTTCACTCATGTGTGAAGTTCTACTCATTAGAGTGTCAGGCACTTATGCTTAAGTGGGGGCAGCGCACACCCATGTGCATGAAGCTTCACTCACACAAGCAGAGGGCATTAGCACGCAAAGCTCCGTTGGTGCAAATGGAACTTTGCACACACATGTTTGCCTGCCGCTTGCAGGAGTGAAGCTTCACACATGCACACATGCTCAGGGGTGGGTTCTGGTTGCTGTTACTGCCAGTTCACTCAGGGATGCACTGCACATACGTGCACACTTCATGAGTGCTATGCATTTGTGCAAAATACTAAAAATGCTTCTGCGCATGTGCAGAAGAAAAAAAAACAAGATGCTAGGGCGCCGTGGCGTGGCAGGCCGAATTACTACCTATTCAGCCAAACCAGACTGAATTGGTAGCAACCCACCTCCTGTGCATGCCCATCTATTCCATGACCCGGTTTTGAACAGGCTGCAGTCCGGTAGTGGGTCGTGGGCTGGGGGTTGGGAATCCCTGAACTAGCTGACAACCAAGAATTTGCTGTAATCCAGCAAATCCTTCCCATCATTCCGTAACCCATTGTAATGTTACCAGCACTCATTCCTGATGAAATGTGATACCCATGTTGCAAAAGTTTGAATATCTAGAAGATCATATTGTTATAGTGATTTATAATAAGTTACTTGATTTTTATAATTTCTTAAGTATCTATTTCACTATCAAGGCTATTCAAGTCTTCACTCACTAGTTCGTATTTCTAGGTTTTCTTATCAGAAGTCTCTAACCTAGGAGTTATTCTGGAAAGAGTCTTTCTCTTTAGAAGTGATCAGTCACAGTCTTTTGCATACGTATCTATAAGTACTATTGAATGGAATAGCCATTTAATGTATTATAAAAAATATTTTTAACTTGTTTATATATTTTATGTTTTAACGTTCTCCTTCAATTATGTCTGCTATCCTAATTATCCTGTTGAAGAAAAGGTGATAATAAAAATAAATTAACAAAGAAGTAAATCAGTCGTAAATGCATATGCATACACAATCACAACATATTTCAATTATTCCACGTTTACCAATGCTGTAATTTAGATTTCATTGAAAAAGCAATGAAAATAGTAAAAAGATTCTTTAAAAAAAATCCTTTGGAGGAAAAACCTTCATCTAATGACTTGGCTCAAAAAGAAATCATTCATCATCTGCAGCAATCAAAACTCCCTATTGGCGTAACTCAGTGGTTCCCAAACTTGGCAACTTTAATACTTGTGGACTTCAACTCCCAGAATTTTCCAGCCAACTCTGCTGGCTGGAGAATTCTGGGAGTTGAAGTCCACAAGTCTTAAAAGTTGCCAAGTTTGGGAACCACTGTAACTAAACATATAGATGCCCATTTTCCAATGATATGACCAATGATGACCCTTACCTGAGTTTAGCTTTGGCATCATTGAAACTCTCTGATACAAAATAAACAGGCTGATAGGTCTGATCTTGATAGGGTTGCATGGCCGTAACATCAGGGTCAAAGTCCCTTAGTTCCGGTTCATCGGACAAAGAGTGCTAAATCAAGGAAAGGGGGGGGGGGAGAAGAAAGCAGGAGAACCCCATAAGTTGATTACTGCAGCAAGAATAAGTTGATCAACCAAATAGGATCACCCAGGCTCAGAAGCAGCTGCTGAACTCTTCAGTTTACAGGTAGCTGAATGGAGATAGATTGGGGTGGGGACACTTACTATGAGCTCTCCATAGGAAGATAGGAGGCCAGCTCCATAGGCTTTAATGATCCCGTTTTGCTTGCAGAGCCCAAACTCCACTGTGAACCAATAAAGCTGCAGAGAAAAGTGGAATGGAAAAGAAAAACGGTGATGGTTAGCATTTTCTTTTCCATATTAGAGAGATAATTTTTATTGCATCTGTTCCTTTTTTGCATTGCATTTGGGATGGCAATTAGAAGCTCTTCTGGGAAAAAAATGCATTTTTCTTTGTTTTTAGAAATCAGCGTTCATTTTCTCTTTGTCATATTTATGCTGGAATATCTACTAATAATATTATTTCCTGGTGTCTGCTACTGCTTGTATTGAAAACCTATAACAGATTATTCTATCCCAGCTCTATCCCTGCCAGCTACATTGGCTTCAATTCCTAGAAATTCTGATTAGCATAACCAAAATTGGCATTTCACATCAACATTTACAATCAAGATACATATGTAGAACAGAATTTGACAGAGGCAATTACTGCTCTATCTGTGTATCCTAGAATTAAGGACTTACTGTTGAAAGTTTTTCAATCTCCTCGTCAGTTGCACCCAAAGATGCAAGTCCAATGTCCTAGGAGCAAAAGAAAAATAATCATGTACAGTAATTATTACGTGGTTTCCCCCCCATGACCATTATATGTTTTGTGGGCACAGCTCAATTGTTATGGATCATACAATAGGATTTGGTAGATTTTATGGATATTCAGTATATTACAACTTTCCAACATCATTCCCAAATGATGAACAAATGCTTCTAATTATAAAGTAATCTTCCTGAACACTGGCTAGGAAATTATGACCCTGGCTTGTCAGGAAATATCTGGATATGCTATAGCCTAATTGATGAGTTCTTATTTCAACCATATTTGTAAAAGCCCCATGATCTATTGATATTAACTCATGGGAAGTCTATAAATTGTTGTATACTGAATGCAGATAGGATTGTATAGTTTATTGCCTCCTCGCAATCTTGAAATTATTTTATAAGTATTTCAAGATATTCTACTACATATTTCTTTATAGTTCATGTTTCTAGACCGCCCACCTCCCTCAAGGAGAGACTCCAGTATACACCAAACTTTATTTATTTTTTTACAATTCTTATAATTGTTATCTCTATTTTGACATTTAAGAATCTCTTTGGAATGCTACGATTCTGTTTGGGGTGCTCTGATGAATACACATGGCTTTAATCGTTCTTTAAAAAAAACAAATTGGAGCCCACCCAATGAAGGGAAATCCTGCAGCACATAGAAGAGGTTCATTTTCAATTGCTAAACAAGAATAAATGGGGAGAAATGATAAGAAACAAGATTTTGATTAAACATGAAGGGGAAGGACATCCCATTTAAGGCAACATTTAAAGGGTTGGGCCACAATTCTACCTTCTGAGTTTCCAGAAATTCTATGAGGCCATTAGGTGTTATAATGACCGTACCTACACTGATATTGACTATTAGCATTCTTAGGAGGGAAGGCAAGGAGGAGTTTAGTAGAAATGGAAATAGAAACTACACCCATCTCCATTTTCAATCTTATCCAGGCCCCAAATTATTATTTTAGAGATTGATGATGCACCATTGTTTGGCACAGTAGTTGTGAGGGGGTAGGATTAGCTGATTTCTAATTACCTTTTATCCACTCCCCATCTTTTAAATTCTGAAAAACATTTCCCTTTTAGCAATAGCACTTATGTACTAACTCACAGGATTTTACAGCACCTTCCGGGCACTTTACATGTCAACATATTGCCCCTCAAAAATTGGGTCCTCATTTTACCAACCTTGGAAGGATGGAAGACTGAGTCAACCTTAAGTCCTGACATGATCAAACTACTGACTGTGGGCAAAGTTAGCTTGCAATACTGCATTCTAACCACAGTACCACCAGCGTCAGTTTCCTTTTGGCTGAAATCAATTGAAAATTAGCTACTTTTAAACCACCTAAGTGGCTATAATCAGTGGTGGGTTCCTACCAGTTTGGCCGAAATGGTAGTAGCTTGGCAGCCTGGGTTGCTGAAACCGCCCCTGAACTGGTTCTCCCAGTGGTACAGCCATCTTGGTTCTTGCTTCTGCACATGCGCAGAGCAACTTTAGTTGTATTGCACATGCGCATGCAGCGCATATCAAGCACACACACACAGCATGCACATGAAGGTGCAGCATACATCAAGCATGCGCAGGAAGTGCTCTCACACACAAAGTGCATCCCTGAGCAAATTGGCAGTAGTCTCTGCTGGAACCCACCCCTGACTATAATGCTAAAAATACAATAGGGAAAAGCTTGGAAATCATAATATTTGGTCATTTTAAGATGTGACCTATGGATTTCCCACTTTTGCCACAGGAGATAAGAGGTTGCAAAATCCATTTGGGTAGACATCTAAATGAACAATCTTTTCTCAAGGGTGCTGTCACTGAAAAGGAGTTGATGGGCATTTTTTTTAGCAGTCTTTCAGTATGAGAAGTGAAAGGTATAAGGTGCATTAAAGTTCACCCAGTCTTAACCCACTAGTTAACAGTAGAAAATAAAATCCCATATATCCCAGTGTGGGGGGGAGGGAAACACATTTGAAAATCCACCTTTGACAATGCTTATGTGAAGACAAAAATCACAAAACTGCATGTCACTTCCCTTGGCCATGTCACATGGGGGAATTCACTAGAGAAAGCAATTCTGTTTGGATAGTTTGGGGTAAAAGGAAACCAGGCTGCCAAAGAACACGGTGGCTGGACGCTCTCAAAGCTGACACCAGTCAGCGCATAGAACAACTCAAGGGAGTAGTGCAAGATCTGAAGATATGGAGAGACGTGGGCCATCAAATTGCCAAGAGTCAGACATGACTGAATGGATAACATTATCACGTTCCTTATCTATTTTGGCAAATGTGTCAAATGTCATTTTATAAAAGGCTGCTACTTTAATCTGGGAACACCTTCTGGTTGAGTTATTTTTCAATGGCCATCATCCCAGTCAGCATGGCCAATGACTGCTCTAGTGGCAAAATAGAGATCGTACCTTCATCGCAAGGTGGTCCACCTTTGGCTCACCTGAGAGAACTGTGCAAATGTCTTATCAGCCAACATCGGTACGTGTCCCAGAAGTTCATGGCAGCAGTCCCTTTGGAAAGAAAAACACCCACTGTTTGCAACCTTCTCTTTGAAAAAAGCAAGCCAAGCACTAAAGAAGCCAATTCTATGAGGTAGTACTCACGGCTCTGGAGAGTGCATGGGAGAAGAAGCATGCCGGATGTACTGTGTGCATTGAAACACCCTGAAGGCTAAACTGGCTAAGAAATCCCGAGCTGAGAGAAGGCCAGCTACTGGTCGGAGTTGGAACCCAGTTCTCTCTGAAACAATCCAAACCATCTCTTACATTCAGTTGTATCATTTAAGAAAGGATGAACATTAACAGCTTAATTGGGTCTTATTAAACTAAGGCTGTATTTGCTTCAAACATGATTTGGGAGAAATGCTCTGGATCTTGTGAAAAGAAAATTGCAGCTGCTTTAAAGGTCTCATTAATCTTAATGTTTTGATTCTTTAAAACATTTTTTGGTAGCCACAACTTTTTTTGGTAGGAGGGACATGCAGGTTTTCCAGGAAGCTTGAAAATAATCAGGCCAATGATAATGGAAACATTTTATCTTAATTATTTTCAAAGCATGAACAGCCTTTAGTACTGGACTACTAAAGTGTTATATTGTAGCTGTTCAAGTACATCCAGTGCTGAATTTTGTGAAGTTATACAACTGGTCTTTTTCTAATCTTTTTTTTAAAAATTGTACATATTCTTTTGGAAGTCTATTCATTCCAGATCCATAGTATTATTAGAAAACATTATTATTAGAAAATGTGATTTGGGTCACCACAAATATATTAAAGATTATAGTGTTATAGATCCTAATGTTTATTGTTTAAATTTCTACATTTCCTCCTAAAATGCAGTTTAATTACACATTTTGGTAGGATTTTTTGAGCAAAATCTGCAGTACAAAAATCTTCAAAAATGCAAAATCCCAATGGATAATACTTTGGATATACACATTAGTCCAGAAGAAGTGGAACAGATTCGTTCTTCTCAAAATGAGCAAAAAATGAGCAAAGCTCCTGAAGCATCCTTTTTTTCTTTGGATGAATGATAGTCTTATGGATGTTCCCCTCTACTGAGCATCTTTACAGAGCATTTTGGAGGATTCCTTTTGAATTCCTCTTGCAGAAACCATAAATATCTTTTGCTGTTTTATGAACAGTGAATTTTGCTGAACTTTGGCAGGCTGTTTTCTTTACCTGGCTGAGGAGATGTGACCTAAATATTATAGAGGATTTTCTTCTGAGAGCAAAACTTAAATGGAATGTTTATTTTGCATAACAAGTGAATATACAGAATTGGAAATTGAAGAACGCTGTTTTAAATTGTCTCATAGATTTTGTCCAGGATAAAGGATAGGGAGGGAGGATAGGGAGGGAGGGAGGAAGAGGAGAGATGGAGGGAGGGAGGGAGAGAGGGAGAGGGAGTGGGAGAGGGTGAGGGAGAGAGTGAGGGAGTGAGAGTGAGAGAGAGATATGATAGAGAGATATGATAGAGAGAGATATGATATAAATAGAGATACAGATAGAGATACAGATAGATGATAGATAGAGAGAGAGAGAGAGAGAGAGAGAGAGATAGAGACAGACAGACAGACAGACAGACAGACAGACAGACAGACAGACAGACAGAAAATTCCCAGGGTAGTATTGCAATGTTGTTCTCTAGTCACCATCTCTGTGGTTCAGGGGGCAGTACGTCTGAGTTTTAAACATGGTCCTATATATCTAGATCAGCGGTGGTCACTCGTCTTTGGAATCTAGTTGAACATCTCTTCAACTAGAGTCTCCCCTAGAGGTCCCAGAAGTACTGCTGAAATTGGGCGAGGAATTTATTAAACCACAGAGGTGCAAAGCTTCAAGCAGGGTTAACACCATAAAAATGTACAGTCCTGTAAAAATGACCACATACTTACCTTTCAGGAAGCAAGAGACATCCTCCAGCTGAGGGATGTTGTTTTCACTATAACCACTGTACCTCTCCAGTAAATGAAAGGCATCCAGGTGTTCTTTGCAAGCATGAGTGGGATAAAGACTCTTCAGAGTACTATACACTTCCCTCCTTTAAAAGAAAAATATCAATGATATTTTTCCAGAGTATTCGCATGGAAAAGATAGTTACCTTAGAATTCTGACAATCGGTTTAGGTTTGTTATATTGAAACATTATTTTATTTTCTGATTTTATTTTATGTTTTTATTTTATCATTTTGTCTTTGAATCCATCTCGACACTTACAGACTGCCCAGAAATGACCCTGCAGTTTTCAGAAGTGGTTTGCTATTGCCTCATTCCTAGGGTCTATGACAATTTGCCATGGCCAACTCATCAAGGCCAACTTGCCATGGCCAACTCATCACAGGACAACACACTGCAGGACAAGAGTTACACTAATATCAAAGAAATGGTGGAATAGAATCATTAAAGAAAGGATGCAAAAGGAGATCGGAATGAAATGTGAATGGCAAAAATTTAATTAATTTATATTTATTTTAAATAATTAAATTGTTAAATTGTCACACAACAAGTTGTCTTGCAATGAGTTAGCCATAACAAGTTATCCTACGCCAAGTTGCCCATGATGGGCAAGTTAGCTGTAGCAAGTTGTCCCATTCCCCCTACTTAGGGCTCTGAGAGAGTGACTGGCTTTGTACCTAAGTTGGAACTGGAATTCATAGGCCTCTTGTTTCTAGCTTGATACCTTAACCATTACACTAGAGTGGAAGGCCATGAGATGTTTAAAACATACAAAACTGTTGTGGCTCAGCAGGAGCCATTGGAGCTGCCACCAGACTCCGACAGCGAAGGGTCTTATGAGTCAGCCCTGGAGGATGCAGAGGACCCTGGACAGGGTTCTGACTCCGAGCAGGGCGCAGAGAGACTAGTTGGTCACCAGGTGATGTCTGAGCCTTGGATCAATGGGAAGGAGACAAGAGAGAATGATCCAGAAACCACCTGTGAGTTGTTCCGGGATGCACGCCGTCGAAGGGCTACTCGGCGTCAAGAACAACTGCGTAATCACAGGAGGTGATTACGTTCAACTGATGCTCATTAAGATCCTCTCCTGATTATAAAAGGGACTGCTTGTGCCACGCCCTTCTGCAGAAGTTAACTTTAAGGACTAACAAGAAACAAACTTGGCAGGCTGGATTGCTGCCAGAGTTTGTTTGCGTTGCTGCCAAATTTTGTAGGACTTGCTGCCAGAGTGCTTATCTCTTTGTTTATGTGGCTTGCAGCCAACGAGAGTCTGGACTGATTAAAAAACATTCTCATTTACGTTAGTTTCGGTATTTGTTCCTGGACGGAGAAGGGGAGGGGTGTCAGAACACAAAACATAAATAAAAATAGAGTGCAAATAAATGGGCAAGAATCTTCTTCTGACCTAGAGTAATCATGAGTCAAATGATACCTTAACAATTGAGATGAAAATGGTGGGGCAGCTACTCTGCTAGAAAGAGCAATTTGACTTTCCTGAAAGGATCTAAGAAAAGATCTAGAAAAAGTTCCTTTACACTTACCAAGTAGTAATCTCCTCTTCCGTGTATTCAACTCGAGGAATTGGGTCTCCACTATTAGAAGAATACAAGGAACAGGCACTTAAAAATAACGGTGTAGCAAATAGTACAGACAAATCCTGCAATATTTAACTATGTCATACCCAGTCATGTCCAAAATCTGTCACAGAGTACAGATTATAGAGTACCTTAAACTAAATGACATCAATAACAGTCCTTTATTTAAGAAAACTATTCTTTAGATTTATTTAAGTATTTGTTTTCCTGGTTTTGTTGGTGAATTTTCCACTGTAAAGCAAAAAAAACATTTTTTTAAATTATCCCTTTATCTCTTTCAGATAAGCCCTTTTTTCAGATTTGTCCTCTACTTTTTCTAAGAAAATGTGGTCACTATAAGTAGGCGCACTCATTTATATAGTAGATCAAGTGTGATCTGTTAGATCTTCAGTGTTTTGAGCCAAAGGGGCCACCTTGGGGAATTTTGAGGTCATGGCAGCCATTGTGGGCATGGCTGCTCCCAAGTCACTCATATACCAGAAGGAAAAGACAACACTGAGATGCAATTACCAATTATAATCTTTTTCTAAAAATGGCCCCGAGTGAAGTTGTTCAATATTTAGATCCAAATGAAAAAGCCACATCAGAGCCAGCATGGGTGTGCTTGCTGTATCTGTCAATAGTTTATTAAAGAAGCTGCACCTTTTGGGGGGAATGGCTTTCTTGGTAAATGTGTTCTCTCAAAAACATTTGACCCAGGGGTGAGATGCTCTGAAGTCTGCTACAGGTTCACTTCACTACCGGTTTGCTTCATGTGCAATGCATGCCAAATGCGTTCTTTGCGTGCATGCACACCACAGGTGCTACCATGTAGCACTGAAAAAGGAGGATTAAGAAGTTTTTTCTGAGTCTGCAAAGGTAAGTAGAACAGTGAGGGGGGGATTTCCTGCTTTCTAGCGAATATAAATCACACGGCAAAGCTGATTGTTGTACAGCTGATCATCAGAATTACCAGCTTGCCCGAACTGGTAGCATTTTTTTACTACCGGTTCTGGCAAATTGGTAGCATTTTTTACTACCGGTTAGGGGAAAATCAGTCCGAACCGTGAGCATTTCACCCCTGATTTGACCCCACCTGATCTCCATCCCTGTCTAAACCTCTATTACAATTCCTCAAACATGTATTTTCCTGGCACTGCATAGTTACACAAATATGCAGCTTTTCCAAGGTCCACTAAGGGCTATCGTGAATACACTCCTACCAGATGCAAAGCAACTTTCTGGCTTGGGATCTGAAAGCTGCACACCTTTTTAAGTGGGGCACTGATAAAACACAAGGTTTGCTTGAGGTTGATGCTTTATTTTACAATCAGCTAACTCCCCCGTCTTCTTTTTAATTAAAGGTGGCCACAAATCTGAGTATCTTTCAGCTCTAGGGAGAGAGTAACCAATACTCTCCAATTTAAAATTAGGTTGCAGAAATTTGATCCAAGTTTGAATGTGTGAATTGATTGAAGGAAATAGTGTTACACACAACTGGCAAACATGGAACACTGGAAGCAAGATGGATGAGTGTGAAAGAGAAAAAGTGATGAAGCAGGAAAGGGTGAAAATAAAACAAGTTTAGAGAAGTCCATAGATAACAGTGGACAAAGTGGTAAGTCTTACTGCTTATAGTGAAAAGCAATTTCTGCAATCATTCTCCTTCGCTCACGATATACTTCATCAGAGAATCCCTTGGAGAGAAAAAAAAATAAGACCAACAGTGTTATTTAAGAAGCCAAATTCTTATTAAAGGTTCAAGAAGGTGATATGAAGGAATCACTTGTTCTAAAGACATTACAACATTAGTGGTTTTATTTTAAATCTCTTTGCTAGTGCTCCCTAGCACAGAATTTGTCTTTTTATATTTGTCATAAACATGCCATGACTTCAGGGTAAATTTCATCAGTGCATATGTGAAATTGGGATTTTTACAATTTAAATCACTTTAACACTTGAACTGCCGAGATCAATAAGAATGACGATTTCTCATCCCATAAAATTTAATGTTTAGATGATCCTCCTAAAGAAATAATGAAAAAATGTTTACTTACTGGGTGATCCAGATCCAAATCAGGGTCAAATTTGGTAACTAAATGGTGACATAGATCTAACTCCGAAATTTTTCTTGGAAACCAATGAACTAAAATCCAAAAAAAGAAAGAGGAAGTTAAGTGAAATCCCACAAAGTGACATGATGGAGTTGGTGATGTTGGGAATGTTGAATTTTATCTAAGAAGATCAAAATCAGAAACATAAAATAGTTGCTTCTATTTAATATCAGTAACCCATGAACTGGATTTATCTTTTAATTCCTGGCAGTATCTCCTTTAACGTAACATAATAACTGTGTAATTCTATAATCTTTTTTTACCACCATTCTTTTACTGGAATGTAAGTCAGAGACAAATCCCTAGGTGAAAGGACCAAAGTTTTTATTGAATAATATGGAAAAATTCCAACAGAATAAGTCTGAATAGCAATAGCAATAGCAGTTAGACTTGTACACCGCTTCATATGGCTTTCAGCCCTCTCTAAGGGGTTTACAGAGTCAGCATAT